CCCACATCTCCCCATCAACTATTCCTAACTTAGTTTTCCCCCTCATGCCAGCGGGCAGACTACAACATAGGGCTTCATCGGCGGGCTCGGAGTTCATCGGGCCCCTCTCCTTTATCGACGTCGAATCAACCGCGTGCTTCTGGCATTTTCATTCCACGGGGTCTCCATACAGGCCGGCAACTCCAGCGCCAACAACACGGCCGCCTCCATGTTCGTGCCCATCTCGCACACCGCCTATCGCCGACTACGGGCACGACCCTCGTCATGCTCCCCGCGGCCATCACCCAGGCCTACATACTTCCAGGTCAGCGGCGCGCGCACGGCGGCCGAGGTCGGCGGGTGGGTGTTCCCCTGCGACGCGACGCTGCCCGACCTGACGCTGCATATCGGCGCGTATAAGGCGGTGATCCCGGGCGAGTTGATGTTGTTCGCGCCGGTGGACACGGATGAGTTGGAGACGGCGACGGTGTGCTATGGGGGCATTCAGAGTGCCAGTGGGATGCCGTTTGCGATTTATGGGGATGTGTTTTTTAAGGCGCAGTTTACGGTGTTTGATGTGGAGGAGGGCAGGTTGGGGTTCGCGCCGAAGCCGGAGCTTTGAGGGAGGTGAGGTGATGGGGGGTAATGGGGATGGGGATGGTTAGGGAGGGGGGGTAGATGAGATCTTTGGGGGGAGTGCTTTTATGTTCTGGTGTGTGTATATTTTGCTGGGTTTATATCGGGGGTTTTTCTCTCCGAGTCTGCGGGCGGCGCAGTCGGTACCTAGATCAGGGGGACAGGTAGATGGACATAGCTCCTCAAAGTACACCCTGCATTCCGCTTCTAACATATGCCTCTCGTTGCCTTGTGCGTGTCTCTAACCTCGCCGCTCACTTGCGTACCATTGTACAATAAATATGTTTCTTCAAATCTGTTGGGAAACCCAGCGCTGTTGCAGCAAAACAAATGGTATCATGATATTACACCGACACCCAGCAGCCAGTCAACTAACTGCCTACAACTTAAACGTGATCGTCTTAGTCCGCACCCACTCCGACAGGCCCAACCCGGCATTAAACCTCCCATACCCAGACGCCTTGGCACCACCATGGGGCAGGGCACTCTCGTCATGCACCGACATGCTGTTGATGTGCACGGCGCCCGTCTCGATCTCCTTCGCAAACCGCAAACCGCGCCGCAAGTCCTCGGTGAACACGGCCGAGGACAAGCCGTACTCGGTGTCGTTGGCGATGCGCAGGGCCTCCTCCTCAGTCTCGATCTCGTACAGCGACACGGTCGGCCCGAAGCTCTCTGTCTTGTAGATGTCCATATCGGTGGTGGCGCCGCTGACGACGATGGGGCGCATACGGGTCGGGGTGGACTCCTGGGCGGCCAGGTCCCCGTACAGCAGGGATGCACCCTTGGCGAGGGCGTCCTCGACAAGCTTCTTGTTCTTGGTGACGCCGACGCTGTTGATCAGCACGGGGGCGTCCTTCTGGCCGCCAAAGATGTGGTCGATGGCGCTGGTCAGCTTGGCCTCGAAGGCGGCACGGACGGCCTTGTGCACGAGGATGCGCTCGGTCGACATGCAGATCTGGCCCGAGTTGAGGAAGGCGCCCAGGGCGCACTGCACGGCGGCGTTGTCCAGGTCGGCGTCCTCCCACACGATGGCCGGCGCCTTGCCGCCCAGCTCGAGGAGCACTGGCTTGAGGTGCTCACCGGCCAGCCGCCCGATGATGCGGCCGACTATGGTGCTGCCGGTGAAGTTGATCTTTTTGATCTGCGGGTCGGCGATCAGCATCTGCGTGATGGCGGCCGCGTTGGCGGGCTCGTGAAAGAGCAGGTTCAGCACGCCGTCCGGCAGGCCGGCCTCGTGGAACACGGAGCAGAGTCCCCACATGGTCCGCGGGCACAGCTCAGACCCCTTGAGAATAGCCGCGTTACCAGCGCCGATGGGGAACAGTATTGAGCGGACGCCGAGAATGTAGGGGGCATTCCTGATATGGGGTTAGCCACGCGACGCGTTCCTTTTACTCAGTGGTTGAAGCAGCTCGGCTTACCAAGGGGCAATGGCCAGAACGACGCCAAAGGGCTCGTTGATCACCATGGCGCCGGTGCCCGCATCGCGCGTGGTAGGCAAGCTGCCGTCCAGAGTGGCGACCCTGCCGGCCACGTCGAGGATGAGCTCCTTGGCCGCATCCACGTTGAAGTCGGCCCATTGGCGTGGGCAGCCCGTCTCGATCATCATATACCCGCCAAGCTCCTCCTTCCTCCTCTCCATAACCTCGGCGGCCTTCAAGAGAATGTTACGGCGCACCGACGGCAGCGCCTTCTTCCAAGTCCGGAAGGCATCCGCGGCTGTGTCGATGGCGGCGCGAACATCAGCCTCGCTCGCGCTGGCGGACTCATGGACCACCTCGCCGGTCGCGGGGGCCACGACTTTAAACCTCCGCTCGGGGTGGACTTCCTTGCCGTTGATGAAGAAGGGGACCGGCGCCCCCTCGGTCGGAGGAGCGGTGGCGGGTGCAGACATGGTGGAGAGAGACTGTGGCGAGGTCCGAGTTGGGAGTTGGAATAAGGATTCCCGGTATCCGTGTAGACGATCGGAGGGCGAAGTGCTATGGCGAGGGTGTGTTGTTGAAGTTTTTAAGGGTAAAAGCGAAGTCGAAGCCGCTTATCAACCCAGAGCGAAGGTGGGGTAACTCTCTCCCCGCCGCCGCCGGGGGTTGAAATCTTGGGAACTGGGATCAGGTCAGGTCCCGATCGGCAAGTGGGGAGCCGGAGGAGTCCCGAGGTGCAATGCCGGGATTATTATGTTGAGGCGTACTGTGTGCTGTGTCTGGAGGCGCAGATCTTTTGGCGCGCGAGCTAGTTTAAGACCGTGAGACCAATCCCGATTCCCCAGTGTCTCACCCTCTCACCCAACCCCAAGCCGACACCCGCGTGATAATCATCTTTTTGGTGCCTGCTGACGAACCCGGGTCTGGCTGGTTCCATGAGGGTGGATGCGGGGTTCGGTGAGGGTGTGGAGATTTGGAGATGCGGAGGGAAACTCGGCATTCGTTCCCTGCCGGGTTTGGGGGACTGCTTGGCGGGGCGAGTGGGCGAAGCTATCGCGGGCGCTCCGTTGTTGCGGCTGATGGCCCGCTGTGCTGTGTAGATTTGGATGCTGAGAAGACACCTGCAACACTACTGGAGTTCACAAAAGGCTGTGGAAGGGTGATCAAAGACGCTTCTCTGTAGGTCGCTGCGAGGTATTAGTCGATCACGAGCTCAATTCCACTTTTCTTAATACATCCTCAAGTTTTTGACGAGACTCACCTTTGTTGCTCCCTGGTTGCCAGACTTCGGTCTCGCTCCTCATCCTGGTTGCTTGAGTGTACGAAGCCGCAACTGGTGCTGGTCGAGGTACTTGGAGCGGTCCTTTCACAAATGGTCTGGGAGGGGGTGTCGTCGTGGCCATGTTGATGGGAGGCGAGAGGTGAGAGGAAAAGGTGTTGCAGAGATTAATAGATTGAAATGAATGAGGGGGGAGGAGGTTGAGCAACGCTGCGGCTGGGAATACGACGGAATGTACCTTACACACATGTACCAGCTGGCGAGCTTCTATGACAGCTGAGGAAAGCTGAGGAACGCTGAGGAATGCATGTCCTTATCACAGTTGCCATTTGTACAGCAAGAAGATAGTCGCAAGTCTGCCTCCTTCCTCCGTATTACTTGGTAGGTAGGTAAGGCACCGACCAGCATTGTAGATTCCTCATCCCACACACAGATGCTCGGCTCTAAAAAACTGCCAATGACACCACATTCTCTTCCAATACGTGTCTTAGTTATTTTTTCTTCTTCTTTAACTTTATCTTAAAATTTGGGCCTCCCTCGAAGACCAACATGTCCAATAACCCGTTTCAGGAGATTATGCAGAGTCATGGCGGGCGGAGGGTCATGCCCACCGGCAACCCTTCCTCCAACACCAGCTATCGCACCCCCCGTAACCCTGTTAGGGAAATTGAAAGGGCAATCGCCGACATCACGAGGTTTCAAACGTACCTTATGAACGCCATCACCATGGCTCGTATGACCGTGTTTGCTGTCCGCCGCGACCGCACGGTGACCATGATAGCAGGAGAACCTAGCCATGGTCGCCGTTTTTCGCTCCCTGGCACCAGCGGCTCTATGTCAGGCGTCTGGGAAAAAAAAAAGGACATAAACACGGTCCTCCAACAGCATAATCCCGACATCCGATATACAGCCGTTTCTCGAAGGCCTCAAGTCTGTCATGAACGGCCAATCTCTAGAGGCTTCCGAGGAGTGCGAAATTGGCACGCTGTCACCCCGTTCCCCTAACAGATTCCAGTGGTATTCTATCCACTAACAAAAGTCAGATGGTCGCTAGTATCGAGCACAGTTCCGAGTGGCTCCTGCAACTCCGGGCCCTGGCAACTCCACCAGAGACACCGGTAATGACTGTGCCATTGGTTTCGTTATCGACACGATGTCGGTCTGGGGCAGGAATCGCGCTTCGCGCCCTGTAGGTCCTTTGTTACTTCTTCATGTTGGGAATATTCGCATCGCAACGCTAATCCTAGTAGACGATGGATCAACTGAACCTTCAAGTCGTCAATGTCATCAACATGGATGACCAGGTCGTGGTCGACAGGCAGCAATACAATCTCGAACGGCAAAACCATATGCTTACGCAAACTCTTTCGACCGTCGCTCACGACATTTCCGGCCCACCTAGGTATAGACCATTCGACCTGGGGTTCCACATCCACCAAGCGGTCGTGAGACTTCAACCTCTCGCACACCGCAAGGGACTGGCTACCTCCTCCCATATCGACCCTAAGCTTGATGATTTGGAAGTTATTGGGGACCCTGACCGCTTACAGCAGCTCTTGGCCATTTTATTTAGAAACACCATCATAGCCACGCCTCAAGGCCGGATCCGGTTCTGGGCCGAGAAGGAAAATCTTGCCCCAGACAGGATCACCCTCAAGTTTACCATCAAAGACACCGGGAGAGAAACCAAGGGCCCCGTTGTTTCAACAGGGCCAGGCTACATCCAACACGAGCTCGGCCTTTGCAGGCATATGGTAGAGGCCATGAATGGAGATATAAAAATGGCTTCGACACAAGGCTCCGGCACCATAACCATGGTCAACATTCCCCTCAACTTGTCAAAGCCCCTCTCAGCCCAAGAATTTGGACAAAGCAAATCCTCGACCTAGCAAGCAGGAGATGACCAGACCCGAGGAATAATGGAACAGTTTCGGGAGATGCACTGACACCCATACGCTAGGTTGTGTACACTCCTGGGCACACCTTTTGTGGGTTTGACACCGGAAAGTGATACTGTGGTGGGAAGGGACTGGCGCGTGTATGTGCTGGAGGAGGAGAGTGTCGCTGGCCGGCCTGACTCTGTTCTCGGGGAGGACGCTAGGACTATGGTGAAATTGAAGGATGGGGGCCCGGACCCATGACAAACTCCACGTGTGAGTTTAGCGGATAATTAGGTTACAGCGTGTACGAGAAATATTACCTTGTGTGCATCTTCAACAATTGTTCTTCTCATGTGGATATAACTCTTGGCTAAGGCTCAGTTTAAGAAAGAAAGATGTGCGACAGCGAAGACAAGTAGGTATAAAGAGAAAGGAAATGGCGACAGCGTGGATAAACCGCCTGGCCGCCTCATTCTGCCTTCCCTTGTCATCGAATCTTATACACTTTGGGGTCATTATTTCGCCCAAATTTAACTGCCGACACAGGAACTCTTATTACACGACACTGCCTGGCCATAGCTAACTACCCCGACGAAAATGTCAAGGCAAGTGAGTCGTTGACTTCCCTAGACTCAAGGCAGGCCCATGGCAGAAATCACCAGAGCGGTCATGCAACATCGATTCGAATGACACTAACAATGGTATTGATCGCTCAAAAAAGCTCGCTATGCTAAAAGACGGCAACCACTCGACGGGAAAAGAAAAGCCCAAGCGAGGGAAGAAAACCCCTGAAATCAGCCTGGAAATGCTCAGGAGGGTATCTAATATACAATGATTAAGTACACTTGAGAAACAGGAAGAGAGGCCAGTCGCCAGAAACAGAAAAATAGGCCGGAAGAGAAAGGTCATGAACCAAGCATTACATGTGTCGCTATGCGGAATCCAAGAAACAGCCGCCGCGGCCACCGCCGTGCTGCTGGATGCAAGTCAACGTTGCTGAGTGAATGCGTAGACGGGAGACAGTCGATGTACTCGTCAGGGTCGGCCGTAACACACGCCGTCAGAAAAGCGTGGCCGTGTAAGTGTAAGTGCAAGTGCCGTGTGCGTCGTGAGGAGTGCGTGGGACCCGGCCGTAAGGAGCAAACAAACCAACAAGCCATCCGCGCCAAAGGGGTGGGATCCCCCCTCCCCCCTTATCCACAACCCCACCCTCCCCTCCCAACAACAACAAAGCACTCCGTCTCATCTCACACCTTCGCCCGCTTGCCCTTCCCCAGGGTAAGCTGACTCAAGCTCAACGTCCTCGCCGCCTTCCTCCTCTTCCGATCATCCTCATCCCCACCCTCCTCGTCATCGTCATCCTCCTCAGGCCGAAGCTCCTCACCAAAGGCGCCATACCCAACCATAGGCGTCCGCCCCTCCCTCGGCGTCTGGAAATCGTCCTCCGTGACCTCGCCCTCGTCCAGATCCCGCCCCCTGGCATGCTTTTTCACAGCCCCAGCACCCGCACCAGCACCAGCGCCAGCACTCGCAGTAGTGGCCAGCGGCGCCCCAGACACCTCACCGTCATCGTCATCATCGTCATCCGTCTCAAACACGGACAGCTGCTCCCGCGGAAACAGTGCCGGCGGCGGCGCAAGCAGCGGCGGGGAGGCCATCTTGGGCGTCAGCGGCAGCGATAGCGCCGATCCACCACCACCACCACCACCACTACCGCCACTCCCACCCCCAGCCAACGCCAGCCGCTCGTGCGAGCGCGACTCGGACGGCCCGCGCACCATGGCAAACATGGTCGTGGACAGGGTGTTGAGGCGCTCCGAGAGCTTCTTGACCTGGGCCTCGAGGGCCTGGCGCGCGGCGCGCTCGGCGTCGAGGTCGGCGCGGAGCTTGGCTATCGTGGTGGTGGTGGTGGTGGTGGCCTCGTCCCGGGAGGACGGGTCGGGCCCGCCGGTGAGTGCGAGGGTGGGGAGGCTGGCGGCGCCGCGGACGGTGGTGCTGCCTGAGGTGGGCCGGTTGGGGGTGTGCGGGGTTGCGGTGGTGGTGGTGGTGGTGGCGGTAGCTTTGGCTTTGGGAGCTGGGTAGGGGGGTGGTTGGAGGGAGGATGTGTATGTTTGGTAGTCGTTGAGGGAGATCTGGGATTGTGTGTCGGTCTCGAGGGATCGCCGCGAGCTGCCGGGCCGGGCCATGTCCTTGCGATCGACCACCCGCTTGACGCCAGGGACGGTGCTGCATAGCTTGTCGACGGCGCGCTCGAGGTGTAGCGTCCGAGACTCGAGGCCCCCGAGACGCATGTCCATGTCCGCGGCATGGGTGATCTTCATGCCCAGCATTTCCTTGGACAACAGGCCAAAGTTGAACGGTTGGGGAGGGGTCCTGGGAGGTCTCTCGGCTGCGGGGCTCTCGGGCGCGCTGATGTCTACCATGCCGGTGTCGTCGACATCATCATGCGCATTCGACGACAAGGGCGACATAAACCCTGGGTTGTACGACTCGCGCCAATAGCGTATCTCATCGCTCCGCCGGCGGCCGCCGCGCTGGATGCCGGCCAGGCCCTGCAATCCGGAAAGGCTCCGGGACCGCCGCCGAAGTCCGCCACCACTGTCGCTCGTAATTGCGCGGCCAATCTCGCTGGGATCATCGGGGTCAGCCCTATCGCCACCCCGGCTGGCACGAGGCCTTGTGCACTAGCCGGACGTGGTGATAAGCCAGCCCCCCATTCTCGGTTGAAGATATGAGGCCGCAGCAAGGCGTGACCACCCATAGTAGCAGCACGTCGCCGGATTGCAGCGTTTGACCCAGCCGGGTCACCCTGAAGAGAGTTACGCACGCTCTCGATGGCCATGATATCGTCAGGACCAACGGAGTGGGACCGAAGTGGTCTATCGAACTCGCTCATCGGCAAAGAGGCTGACCGCTTCGGCGACCTTTGGTTTGGGCGGGTAAGCGCTGTGGGGTCCTGTATTTGGTCAGTCAGGGTACGGTCATGTCTGGATATTGGAACATGAACACTCACGCTCCGATGCTGTACAGATCCTAGGGGTCTGGATTCGCGTCCAGAATCCCTAGGAGCGTCCTGACCCCCTCCGTTGGCAGCCTTCTTTTTGCCTCGCCCGAACAACCTTCCCAACGCGGACCGCAAAGTAGACTTCTTGCGGTGCGGAGAATCTTTGCTCTGCGTGGTCTGTTTGCTGGAATCGCTAATCATGGAATACCGCACAGTACTGAGAGCAGGGTTTGTGGCCCGTCTTGCTGGTGGCGCAGCCGGCGAAGGCGAGGCAGCTGATGGGGAGGACTTGTGCGGCGAGACTCGGGTTGGGGGGCGATCGCGAAGCCGGGCGTGACGCGGGTCGTGGCTCGGGGTGCCCGGAGGGCGTGTT